AAGGCCGGCCGTCGCGTGCGACATATACATGCAAACTTTTGATGGATTGTTTCATAGATCTTTATTCTGACGACCGGCCTTGTCTTATGAACCTTTGATATCAAGGTTTCTTTGGTTAACTCTTCGCTATAAAACTAAATTAGGACTCTGTAGAAACTTAATCCTAAAAAGTAATGCCGCAATATGGCATGCTTCAGAACTGAACCGTAAAAACAGTACATACGGCAAACAATGTTTTACTCCAAAAGCTTGCAGTTACGAAATTGTCAGTTTCAGGATCCCATAAGCACTGGCTGGTTATTTCAAGACCCTGATCCCGAATCTCACCGATGTACACCACCGCCACCACTTTGGTCTCCGAGGGAATAATTTCCTTGACTCTCAACTCAACTGCTTGGCTAATATTTGCACACTGAGAAACGCATCGCTGGCTATCGTAGTCGCAATCCGTTAGAGAGTTTTCCAACTCTTCTTTTAAAATATGCTTGATGACTTCTTGTGATTCCAGTTCATCCTGGAAATCTTTCAAATCGGCGATGTCATGTGGTGATGATGAACTACCCAAACTCAGGCCGCTTGATTCTTCTTCCGCGCCATGCCATGTCGAGGATCGTTGTCGTTCCACTGAGCTCGCAATTCCAGATGCGATGGAATTAATGCTCGTTGTACGCAGACGATCTCTTTTTTGCTTCCTTAAGAATGGCTCCACGGAACTGAGTGTCACCGATCTTCTTCTAACTGCTGTAGAAACACTCATTATTTCAAACTCAGTAGTGTCGACTGTTCTGCAAAAACAAATTCAAAAACAAGCTGCTTGCCTTTATGAGCTTACGTGCGAATCCTTGTTTAGCTAACACCGTTTGCCTTTGTTCAGCTTTTTGAGCTCAGTTATAAATATCATATCAATGCTGTGAACATTTGCCAGAGCTTAATTATGCGCGCTACACCGTACAAAGACGTCAGCAACCGAACTATTTCATAGAGCCTCTCTGAATTGATATGAAAGTTCCCGGCACACCTTATTTAATAGAATTACAATAATCCCTCTAGATAGCAGTGCCAAGATATTCATGACCGACGACCCGTGACTTAACTGAAGAGTTGCCGGCATAGTCAATAGTTGCTGCTTCATACTTACTTGGCCTCCATATTATCGATAGATAGATAGATAGATAGATAGATAGATAGATAGATAGATAGATAGATAGATAGATAGTTTATCAAAACTGCATCGCAGCCGGCCAAAGGCTGAATTATGTAATTATTTACAAAAACTTTACAATACTTGAAAAATACAAATGAATCCTAGTTGCTTAACAGTAATTTACCCAAACCAACCTCTTCTCCCCCTCTCCCAAATCCTCGTCAGTCAGTGCGTTGTACAACCACTAAAGCGATGGAACTCTTTGTAACGATCAGGTTGTGGATCATGAAAATTTCAAAATAGAGTCACGAAATGAATTCCAAATAGCTTCAAATCCTGCTCACATGTGCTGAAAAATTTCGACCCAAGTTACAGATGACGTTATAAGTGTCTTGAAACGGCGTAACTTACCTCTTTTATCTCAGGAGGCAACTGTTTCCATAAACGAAAAGAAGCTTTCTTACTAAGATTTTTTGTTTTGTAGTGTAAAGCTCAGCTTACAGCTTGACCCAAAAATATGGAGAAAAACAAATGCGCATCATATTTCTTGACCCAAGGGGGAATTTGAGGACAGCTTTGGACTTGGTTCAATTCGGTTCTTACTTCTGTCTAGCGTTGCAAATCAAACTTATATAGGTAAACCAAGAAAAAAAAAAAGACCGATATCGTTTTTTGCTGAAAAATCGTTTTCATGTTGGACAGTATTTCCTGAACAAACAACTTAATTGGGCACAATTTAATAAACGAAAATTCCGGATTTTCCACCCTTATCATTTCTTACTGCGATTATGTATTATTATACCCATCGGCGTTAGGTGTGAAACGTCTATAAGCCACATTCGTTTGCCTTTGTAAAAGGCATCTTTAAAAAAATCATATGATAGCGTGTTTATTTACAAGAAATATCATCAAAATCGATCCTCCTCTAAATGTATGAGGTATGTCAGTCTAAACTTGAGCCAAAGTTCTTGAGTGTTTAATCCAGAAACGATAAGCACGTGGTTCACTGGACTTATGATTCACAGAACTTAGGTTCACAGAACTTATAATGCCGAAGAAAGAGAACATTTCCGCGGGTTTTCCTGGTTTTCCAGATATGCGAGTTGGCAATTCGGCAAGGAAACAACAACTAGTTTAGTTTTCTGCCGTGAATCATCCGGAACTATATTTGCGTCATTAACCAAGTGTGAGGTCAAGATGGCTGGATATTAGACGAGTTCCTTTTTTGGCTTTTAGGGAGCGAGACGAAATCGAGGTCCATAAAAACGCGAAAAAAGAAACGAGGCTAATATCCAGCCATCTTGCCCGAACAAGCTTGCTTAATAAGGGATTTATTATATAGCAAAAAGATTTCGCTTTAATAAGAATCAAGATTGACTTGTTTATTCCGAGAGTCGGGAAAGAAAGTTATCTGTGTTTGTTGCACGCTAAACCCACGAAGGTCGTTTATGTTTCCTTTGGTGTTGACTGTCTTCTGCCGCTATTTACGACATCATCACCGACATTGTCCAAAAGCTAGGAACATTGCAAGTCTGCTGCACGCACTAGTTTTCCTGCGCGGGATCAAAGCGGCCAATCCCGAGCGGCCGAGATGGCCCTCTTCTTGCCCGTTCCAGTAGTCAATCCGAACACAGGATTCACTTCACATTGGCCACAGGCACTGCCAGCTGTATAACAATGCATTTTATCACATGACGCGTACGGCCCCGCGCGCACAATTCCATTAAAAACCATAGTGAAAGCTGGCGTGTGCAGGGCCGAACGGGTTAAGTGAGCCGGTCCGGAAAAAGCCCTCCCACCCTGACCTCACTCGGCTTTCTTGCAAAAACTTAAAGGAAAAAGAAGGGAGTATGAATAACTCGTGTTTTTCGAAGTTGTCACATGGTTTCTCGTTCTGACTAGAAAAAAAAAAGAAGGAAAAGTATTTCTTCTCAATAGGTACAGGTATTTACAGGTAACCCTCAGTAGAAAGCGATAGCCCTAGGAATCGTTCAGGGTCCACGCGAGGCAAGGTCAAAAATTGTACATAAACAGTCAGCCTAATAAAAGGTCTACATGGCGCCATATTTATTATACAACAAACTTTCTAGATGTGCATCTACTCTTACTCTGGTAATGATATTAACCTGAGCATTGTATTCATTCAAATAAAAGACACGCAGTGAAGAGAGCTGCATACCTTCATATTTGGCATTTGAAAACCCTTGTGGCTTTCTTCAGCATCGGCTGGATAGGCCACCAACCCTCGCTATTGTCTTTTTGATGTAAGTCCCAGTTGCATAAATCAAATAGGAAAACGTGGTCTGTTACTACACTTCGGACCTCGAACACGTATAATAAAAGCTGTTCACCAGGTGACAACGGAGAGTTTGGTACGTTATTGAACATGTCGATCTGTACAATTACGAGTTATGGTGAAACGTGGCCACGTTAATTTTTTCCTTCTAATCAGCCTCAGCTCCCTTCAAACTTATAAGGCGGCTACCCTATGCCCAAGCATCAGTCGATGTTAAATTTTAAAATTAATTGCCTCAGTCTCGGATCTGCTCTTCTCGTTCTTGTTTTTGTTTTTGTCTTTTTTTACCTTTTTTAGCGTTTGTCAATCGAGCATGTAAACAAACGCCTCGGAAAGATGTGGCGATTTTAATTTAAGGTTGAAGACAACTAACAAGTCACTTTTAAACAATGTCTTCTTTTAAATAATGTCTTCTTTGGTTCAGAACATTAGCAGGGTGAAAACCTTCTCTGCAAAACTGGACTATAAACTCTGATGACATGACGGGTGCAAGTGAATCACACACGCCATATGCCGAGTCATCCAACCAATCAGACAAAAATGACAGTGCAGACCAACATAATAACATATCCATAAGAATTTAAATATCTTATTGAACTCATTAAGGAGATTATTTCGTTATTTTGGACTCAGCATTGGAAATGAGCAAATCAAGGACCATTTTGCTTCTGTCCTCTGGTAGAGATGGGCGCACTTGTCAGCAATCTGCATTTTCTATGCGTTAGTCTTGTCTTTGCTAACAGCTGTTTACCAAATTAACATCTCTTTAGCTGAAAGAACTCCATTGGTGAAGGTGACAAGTAATTGCGATAAAATAAGTAGGAGTAAATTAACACTCGCCATTGTTCTAGACAAAGCCGGGCGGAAATAATGAACACATACATTAACACGTGGATTAAAATGAAGCCAAACAAAGTAAAAGTCACTTAACTCGACGGTCACTGAATCACCAAAACGTGAGCAGAACTGAAACCTGAGATAAAATAGGCCGGATCGATACTCTGACAATAACTGTTCATTGTTGAGGTCCAGTGATTTATCTTTAAAGACAGGAAGTGCGTTTTGACATGCCTGCCAGTGAAGTCTCCAGTCGACGAAGCTCTGTGACGGCGGATGTTCAGAACAAACCGGCAACACTAAACATACAAGAGCCAGTCGCCAGGCAGATTCATACGCTGTCAGCAACTTCTAGGACCAACGCAGCGACCAGGCGAAAATCCATGAGTTTGTATCCCAGATCACATCAAGCCGGCCAAACCGAGCTTTCGCATCAACTGGCTGGAAAGATTGCTAATACATACAAACTACGTCCTGATGCAGACAAGCGATTTCGCTGTAAGGATGTCAAAGACGTCATAGACAGCGTCTTGGAAAGCCACCTTAAAGAGCTTCCTTACGATCCTGAAAAATGTAAGAGCTTGCTACCCAGCATCACAGACGAAATCAAGGACAAAGTCAAGGTGCTTGGTTTTGAAAGGTTTAAACTTGTTTGTGTTGTGACCATAGGACAATTGAATAACCAAGGAGTACGTTGGGCGAGCCGGTGCCTGTGGGATGTCGAAACCGATCGCGTGGCATCATCATCGTTTTGTGGTAATGATCTCTTTGCTACAGCCGCAGTGTTTGGAATTTATCGCGAATAGATATAGTTATTTATCGCATGCGTGATCCTAAAAAAAGCTCAATGATTTTATTACTGCTTAAGTGCTTCTGTTGGGATGATTAAGTTTCCTCTGTTGTTAGAAGATATCTTGTTTGGGGCTTTTTATTTAAGCTTTTATTTATAACAATAGGTAATTTAGTAGATGAAACAGAGCAAATTTTGAAAATGCTACACGAGAGCCTTTTTAAGCTATTTGAAAATTTCAAGTAACAACCCGTTTATAAATTTTAAACGATTTAACTGGTTTCCAATGAGCTTGGAAAGATCGGATCACGCTCTCCCGGTGAGATTCAAAAGCACTTTGATAATGAGGATAAAGTATTTCAGATTTCCTTATAAAATTTTAGTTTATTTGTTGACTGCAAGTTCGCGAATCACTGAGAACGTTTTGATTTCCTCCCTTAGGGTATTTTTGAAGGAAAAGTGTGATTGTTGACACGTTCCCGTTCCAAGTTATGTAATAATGTTCTTCATCCATGGCGTGACTTGGAATTTTCACTCACAATGTCTTACGCTTAACTTCAAGAAAAGCTAGTTTTCAAAAGACACAAATTAAAAAAGGCCAACGGAGGGGTCTACAAACAGAAATTAAAATGTAAACCATTGATTTTCATGATATTTATTTCAAGATTAGAAGAAGGGTTGGGAATTTGCTTGTTATCATTCGTTGGTTATCATGTTTGTCGTACTTCTCAAGATATCTGTGTGTTAAAGTGTTCAGGTTTGGTTCTTATCAATCTCCAAGATACTGTTTATGAAATTATTGGTGAGGACTCAATTGAAGTATTGTTCGTGCTTCATAGTTTTATTGCCGCCGACATAAACGTGCGATCTCCATGGAAACGGTGAGCAAAGATAAGTTTAGCATTGTGTGACAGTGCGCGGTACATGAAGTGTGTAAACATTTAATTATTTCAAAACAATTACGTAGCATTGGTATAAAGCAATAAAATGGCTTCTGTACACAATTTTAGGTTGGGCCGGTTCAATCAAGTAGTCAGAGATCTAATTAAAGTTTTATGTTAGTGATTTGAAGAAGACCTCGACTTTGATTTCTGTACAGAAAACAAAAACAATATACGAGGGGCAAAACTGGAAAAGATCAAAAGTAATTGCGGTTGGGTTGAAAAACTTCCACTAAATTCGTCAAGTTCAACTCAAACTGTCCCAAACTGCGGCAAAGTGTTATTTCGCACCGGGAAAACAATCCTTATCTGTTAATATGTACTTGTGCTTTAGTTATATATGGATGTTGGTCTTAACAATTTATTAAAAACAATTCGAAGTGAAAACTTAATACAAATCACATATTCGATGTGTTAGGCTTCTTAAATGTGAGGGTTAAATTTTTCCAGTTTAAGAGTGTTTCTCAATCCTCTCAGTTAAAGTTTTGCTAACAATAGAGATGCAAATATAGAGACATGCTGATGAGAATGAACGGACTCTCATTTTGTCTTGGCATTTGTCACTCACCGGGTAGGAGACCCGTATCGGAAAAAAAACACCTTGCCGAAGGCGAACTTGATTTGTCTAAATCGTTGATAGAAAGTCCAAAAAGGTCACATACTTTAATGAACTTTCTTTTCGGTGACCATTTCCTGATGCTTGGTTCTCAACCAAGAGCCTACTTTATTGATATATAATTAGTGAGTGGATCATTCTTGGCTAGGAAGTTGCTTGACCAGTGTCAAGTTTAATTCCTAGACAAATCTTCTTATAGGACGAGTTGTCGTCAAGTAATTACAGTCAAACTAAGTGAAGCGCATCCCCCAAGATTACATTAATGAATTGATCATTTGGATATTGAACCCGCTAGCCGTTTCACGAATGCAATAATGGATTGATTAATTGAATATTAAACCCCCTAGCAGTATCCGTTCTGAAAAGGCGCGGATCATTGTTCAAATTAGAAGTCCATTTCTGAAGTCCAATAAGATTGTTCTATTTGACGAGGAATCCTGAAAATGAACAAACTGCACTGTAAAAATACTGCGAAAACAGTCGATCACAAATATTAACGAAATAAAAAAAGTCTTGCGATGGCTTCGCCCGTAAACTATTTTTTTCGACCATGAATACACGCAAGAATTTCTACAAGTTCGTCAAGATGTAAATAGGCGAAAAAAGCTCTCGATAACATTCCATTTACAACATTTAAAAGAAGTTCTACACAACACTCGAACTCACCGTTCCCGCCA